TCAATGTGATTTCAGTCCAGATCATAATAAAGTTGCTCTGTTCCTCATGAAGCTCACATTATGGATGTACAGCCATCATGGTCTACGGATTGCTTAGTTTTTCCTGTAAAAACAGAAATCCTTGTACATCTGGGAGCTTGTAAAAACAAGCCTGAAGCTACCAAAATTTTTAGCTGTACAGTATAAATGAGAAACTAAATTCTCCACTGCAAAACATATAGGCTCAAGGTTTTGACAATGAGACTCATTCATGCAGAAGAAGACACTTTCCAGGTGAATATTTCCTTCTTCTGGCGTCACACGCTGAGTAATGTAATTAAAGAGCGTTTATGAAATGTTCGGGACTGTGCTGCTGGGAACCCTAAACAGAGGGGAAAGTGGGATTGTGTGTGTTTGTGGTGTTCCTAGATGAGCGAAATGATTTGCAGGCCAAGCGAGAGGTGAGGTTTTGAAAATGCAAGCTTTTCCAAGGCAGAGTTTAGGGTCTAAAGGCAGTGCCACGCACTCAGTTTCGTCTCACATAATGGTTGTGCTGAAGCTGCAAAGGTTTTGCTCCTGGTAGTCAGCGCTGTGCCGACAAAAGCACCCCCAGGTTCGAGCCCTGCCTCTGGGTGTCATTTAGAGAGGGAGCGAAGCGGGCTCCGGAAAGGAAGCGAGGCGGCCGCGGCCCGGCCCGGCCCGGCCCGAGCTGCCGGCGGCACCGGAGCCCCGCGTCCCGGGCACCTCCGCTCCGTCCGCCGAGGGGACACGGAGCTCCCGCGCGTCGGTACCGCAGGAAAACGCCCCCGTCCCAGCCTTTTAATAGATTAAATCGGCTGAATTCTCATTGAGGCCAGAATATTTTATTTCCCGCCGTACATTTCGTTAACTCTCAAGAGCGCCGTGGTGCGAGACAGCGCCGCGCACGCCGCGTTTAACACCTACCCTACTTTTTCTGGGTTTATTATGTGGAAATAATAATACTCCACGATCTTAAAGACCAGTAGTACCTGGGAAAGCAATATTTTAAAAATTTGGGGGGAAAAAAAAAAAAGGAATAAACTAGGAATACTTGAAACGGCAGCATGGTGACTGCCTTGTCCCGGCCGCTTTGCGGGGTGTGCCGAGGGAAGGAGAATTGCTGGGGGGACGGAGCGGGGACCGAGAGCGCCCGGCCCTCCCCGGCTCCCGAAGCCCCGCTCCGCCGCGGATCCCGTTCCTCGGGGAAACGGGACTCGGAACAGGGCGCGCCTGGGGCCGCATTTACATCCGTGTCCGTGTGGCTGCTCCGTGAACTGAATGAGTGCGGATAATGTCGGTACGGCCCCAGACCGCTGCGGGCTCGGGAGACCCGAAAGGCGCGTCCTGACGAGGCACCGGCCGCGTGTCCGTCTCCGGGAGCCGGGGCGCGGCGGGGCAGCAGAACGGAGTAAAAGCCGCAGGACTGACACCGGGGCTGTGTCGCCTGTCCCCTAACGGGTGTCGGTGCGGGAGGCCAGAGCCCTGCCCCTGTTCCTGCAGGCGGGCTGCGCTGGCCGAACGGGAGCGGGGCTCTCCGAGCCAGAGGCGGACCGGCGCTCCCCGCCGGAGACACGTTTTCTCTCCAACAGAAAAGGGGGGGGTTTGGGAGAGGAAGGCTGCCGCATTTCAAACAAACCGACTCCAGACCTTCCAGGTTCTGCTGCCTGCAGAGGGTGAGTAGAAAAGAAAACCCAAACCACTCGGGCTACTCGAGTCTTATCAGCGCTTCAGCTGAAGGCACGGCTTTCGTGGGAATCCTCGTCCGGACTGCCGGGGCCAGACGTGGGGGTGGCAGCGTGCCCCGTGTCCCCGCGGCGGAGACCCCGCCGCTCGCCGTGCCCCGCTCCGCTCGGCGCTCCCGCCGCGACCGGGCTCAGGGCTGCGCACCGGGGAAATCGCACCGGGGCCGCGGCGGGGGCTCCCGTGCTCTGTTCGGGAAGGGAAACCCGGTCCGGCTCGGTAGCGGCGAAGCCCCGGTTTGCAGCATCTCTCGGGTCGCCTCTCTCAGCGGGGTTGCGCGGCCGGGATTGAGTCCCGCTCTGCCCGCCTTCCTCCCGGCTTCCCCGCACCGGGACCGGGCTGTGGCCGGGGCTGTTCTACCCTCGTGTGCAGAAAGCGAGAGCCCCTTCCCCGCCGCAGCAGACAGGGGCAAGGGCACGGCGCCGTGAGCCCCCTCCACTGCTAATTCCCCTCCTGCTTCCCCTACCCCGGCGAGCGACTGCAGGACCGGCCCGGGAGCGGTTCCGCCGGCTCCTTCTGCTCCCGCCTTGTCCGGGTTTGTCCGTCCGCCGCCCGGCCCCGGGAGCGGCGGCGGGCGGGGCGCGGCCTCAGCCGGGGGCACCGGCGAATCGGGCCGCTCCCCGGGGCCGTGCTGGGATCGCCGCTCCTTCTCCCGAAAGGGCTCTCCGCTCTCCTCTGCTCGCTGCCGTCCCCGTTACTTGCATTCCCCTCGCTGCGGCTTTTCTGTGGGTGCCGATAAGCCCTCAGCTCTCCGCTTAACCGCAGCTACAGCGTACAGCTGCCAGGGGCGTGTTCCTGCGTTTTCAGGTAGTTGTTTCATGTCCCAAAAAGGGCTTAATTAGGAGAGGGGAGAGGGGAGAGCCCGACAGACCCTGCCTGCCCTTGTGTCAAACGTTCAAGTAGCCGCACACGGGGCTGCGCGCTCACCTTTGCTGCTCGGCCCGACCGCCTCTCCCAGCGCTGGGATGAGCTTCTGCCCTAGTGTTCATCCGAAATCCCCCTTGGTGGGGCTGTCAAAAAAAAACCAAACAAGACCCTCGCATGTCAAATGTCCTTTGCTAGCGAGCGAGCCCTGCCAAGGAGCTACGCGCCTGGCTTAGGAGTGAGAAGGGAGGAATGTGCCATTTGGCGGAGGTGATGACACGCGAGGCAGCGTTGCTACACCTGCACCGGCCCTCGCCGCGGAAATGCCTGCGAGGGGGAGCGCCGGGAGCAGCATGGGTGGCCGGCAGAAAGAAGCTCGCTCCGGCCCTGGGGAGCGCGGCAGGCGCGGCCCCGACGGCGGGGCACAGCTGGCTCCGGCTGCTGCGCCGCCCTGAGCGGAGCGAGCCGCCGGGGAGCCGCCGGGGGCTGCCCGGGGAGGGGAACCTTGGAGAGGTCTCTCTTGTGGGCCTCATCCCTGCGCCGTTTCGTTTGTGCGCGTTAGGGTGATCCCGGGGGCGGCGGGCGCTGCTCTGTGGCAGGGTGCGAAAATAGACGGGCCTCCTTTCCGTGACCGAAATCACACAGCCCGGGTTTGGGGGCACACGTTCCTCCGCCGACGGGAGATTGGTTATGGCTCTAGGCGAAGATGCAGAAACGTGTTCTAACTGACACATATAGAAATATATAATTTTTATATATCTATACATCTATACATATATATATATAAATCTAATAGTTCTTCGAAGAGCTAATTTATTTCTCGGTTTAAATACGTTTTTTCATCTTCGACTGCCTTTACCCGCAATTGGTCTGTCCCGGGTAGGGGAGCAGGGACCCGTGGCCGGGCAGAGGAATTAGAAATCCGCTCATGGGCCACCGAAGCCCTGGGCGCCCCGACGGGAGGGGCCGGTTGCCTTCGGGAGCTGCCCGCCCCCCCGCCGGGCTCACGCTTGGTTACGAAAATTGATGTCGCGCTTAAAATCATCGGGACAGGGCACATCGTGAGAGGCGGTTCACGTGCAGGGAAGGCAGGAGCGAGTCTGAGGGCCTTGAGTTGCCGGCGGGCAGAGCTGCGGGCTCCGAGGTGAGCGTGCAGCTGCTGCCAGGACCTCTTTGGGCAGCCCGAGCTGTGTTTGAGCACGGGCGGCGAGGCCGGGAGCGGGGGAGCCGTGCCGGCAGCAGCGGGCTCCTTGCAGCTCCCGGGGCCGAGCGAGGTCGCGCAGGTGGTCCCGGCCCTGCGGAGCTCGGCCCGGCTCTTGCGGCTGCCGGCGGGTGCCTTGTCTGGTGGAAAGGCTCGGGGGCCAAACGGGGCCGGCCTGCCCCGCTCCCGGGACAGGACAGGAGAGCCCGTTAGAAACCAGTGTGAAGCGTCCGCTGCTGTACCGGGGCTGAGCTCCGGGGCACTTGTTTGTCACAGCGCGACATCTCTTGTGCTCGGCCAGCTGACACTGCCTGTCTGCTGCTCGGGGAGGCTCTGCATGAAGGCAGGAAAGGGGAAGGAGAGGGGAATGTCGGTGCCGCATACTCCAGGAACCGTGTGAAATAAGCCGAAGCCCTCCAGGGGAAGGAGCAGGAAAGCTGCCCAGTGTGTCATCCCCCGTCTCGTCACCCTGCCCCGGCCCTCGAGGCGCCTGTCAGCCCCGCAGCCGCGCTGGGGGTCTGCGTGTACTCTGCGGGGAGGGAGAAGGGGCGACCCGACACCTTTTGCTTTCTGCCTCCTGCAAATAAGAGCTGCAAGAATCGACTTGCAGGGAGCGGCAACAGCCTCCTTGTGCTCCCCGGGCGCGATCGGTTGGCGGGGCCCGCGGCCAAGACATATAAACGCGACCGCGTGTGCGGCTGGAAGTGTGACAAGCCGCCGTGGCAGGGCGAGCGCCGCGGGCACACCCCTTCGCACCCACCGCCTCCAGCGCGACCCCGCGCCGGGCGGGAGGGGAGCGCAGCGCCGCGGGGCCCGGCGGGCTCCGGGGTGGCCGCGCCGCTCCGCGGGGCCACGTCGGGCCGCGTGTGCGCGGGGCTGAGCGCGGCGCCGTGACTGCAGGGTGAACTCGGCCGTGCCCAGCGGCTCGGCGGCGATAGGGGAGCGGGCTCCTGACGAAAGCGGAACTCGGCCGGGCCCATACAAATCAGAAAAGAGCCCGGCCGCCGCGGCAGAGGGGAGCGGAGCCCGCGGGGGCAGGGACGACGCCGCCGCCGCGCTGCACGGACCAGCGGCGCCGCGAGAGGCGCCTCCCGATCTCCGCCCGGGTCCCGGCTTCGACTTCGGCTTCGGCCCCGTCCCGGCGAGCGCGGAGCGGGACGGCCGCCGGCAGCGGGCTCCGTGCAGCGGGCAGCGCTCCGCACCGCGCGGCGCTGCGCTGGGCGCCCCGGGCGCGGGGCACCATGATGAGCAACTACACGGACGGCGAGGAGGACACGGTGGCGCTGCTGGCTCATGACAGCGGCGGCAGCAAGGAGCCGGATCGGGGCAAGGAGGAGCTGAGCGCGGACAAGGGCCCCGAGAAGCCGGACCCCTCGCAGAAGCCCCCCTATTCCTACGTGGCCCTGATCGCCATGGCCATTCGGGAGAGTGCGGAGAAGAGGCTTACGCTGTCCGGGATCTACCAGTACATCATCAGCAAGTTCCCTTTCTACGAAAAGAACAAGAAAGGCTGGCAGAACAGCATCCGCCACAACCTCAGCCTCAACGAGTGCTTCATCAAGGTGCCCCGGGAGGGCGGCGGCGAACGCAAGGGCAACTACTGGACCCTGGACCCCGCCTGCGAGGACATGTTCGAGAAGGGCAACTACCGCAGAAGACGAAGGATGAAACGGCCTTTCCGGCCGCCTCCGACCCACTTCCAGCCGGGCAAGACCCTCTTCGGCCCCGACAGCTACGGCTACCTGTCCCCGCCCAAGTACTTGCAGTCCACCTTCATGAACAACTCGTGGCCGCTGGCGCAGCCCCCCGCGCCCATGCCCTACACGTCCTGCCAGATGTCTGGTGGGAACGTCAGCCCTGTCAATGTGAAAGGACTCTCGGGCCCGGCGTCCTACAGCCCCTACTCGCGGGTGCAGAGCATGGCGCTGCCCAGCATGGTGAACTCCTACAACGGCGTGGGCCACCACCACCACCACCACCCGCACGCCCACCACCCCCAGCAGCTCAGCCCGGCCAGCCCCGCGCCGCCCGCGGCCCCGGCGGCAAACGGAGCCGGCCTCCAGTTTGCCTGCGCCCGTCAGCCCGCCGAGCTGTCCATGATGCACTGTTCTTACTGGGAGCACGACAGCAAACACAGCGCCCTGCACTCCCGCATAGACATCTAGGGAGGCTCCGGCCAGCCGCCGTCACAGCAATGCACCGGCCCCGCTGCCCCTCTCCTGCCCCGCCGCGTTCCCCTGCGCTCCGCGTCTCTCCTCCTCGTCTCTAGTCACGGACTTCCCTCTCTCTGTCCCAAACTCTAGCGGTGGGGAAATAGCAGCTTTGCCCCGCGCGTAGTGTCAGTGTAGGACCGTCCCTCCATGAGAAGAAAGCAGTGTAAGTGTGGGGGTTCCCCGCGGGGCTGCGCCGGGCAGCGGCGGCCGGGCCGCCTCTCTCCGGGCGAGCGGGGATTCACCGGGAGTTTCTCTGCTCGTGTGTGTGTGTTTGTGAGTTGTTGGGTTCGGTGGGGTTTTTGGTTTGGGTTTGTTTGCTTTGGTTTGGTTTTGTTTTGTTGGGTTTTTTGGTTTGTTTTTTTTTTTGTTTTTTTTTTTTTTTTTGTTTTCTTGGGTTTTTTGTTTGTTTTTTTTTTTTTTTTGTGGGACTTTTTTTTGGGGGGGGGTCGACGGGGGGAGCATCTAATTAAAAATTGGTTGTTCAGCCCTGAAAATTATGCTCCTTTGTAATTCGGCCGTAATCTTTTCGGGCTCAGCCATGGGGAGAGTAAAACGGAGTTTGTAAATAGCGGAGGCATTTTCACGCGTGCGGTGCGGGGCTGGCGGGGCCTAGACACTATCGTGTGCCCGCGGTGCTCGTCCTCTTCTTCATCCCCTCTGTCTTCTTCCTCGCTCTGCAAAGCACTGCGCTTCTTCCGAGCTGTGGCTTTTCGTTAAAATAGTACTTAACGTGGGGACTGCTGTAACAGCAGATGTGCGATATTGCTGGTTAATAGAAACCAACAAACAAAACCCGCCAGGGTCACTCGTGAAACGTTTCGGCGGTAAATATATTTTTTAAAGGAGACAATGTCCTCTGAGGTCTTAAAAGTAATTTTATACAGGTCTAAAAAATATTTTGATGTTATTAAAAAAAAAAAAAAAATGAGACGCTTTCCTGTAAATTGGGATATTTTTCCATGTGCATATTGTTGTTAATAATGAAAGTTTAAACTATCTTCAGTTTTTTTTGCCCCCAAACCTGGCCCAAAATGGATTTCCCGGTAGGTTCTGCTTTTGAATGCTTATTCTTTTTCTTAAAAGGTTTTAATCCTTCAATTTTACATAGATTAATGTGAAAAAAAATATCGATTTTAAAACAGGGGCCAGTTCATAGCGATTTTGTAAATGTTTGTGTAAACCAATAGATGCTGTGGCATAGTACCGTTTTGGGACCAACTTTTCTAGAATGAATTAGCACTTTCATTGTACTTTCTAGCATTGTAAAGTCTCCAATAAAATGCCTTTCCTTCTTTCCATATCGTTTTATTTCGCTCGTTCCTCCGCGCTCGGGATCGGGAAGCGGCAGCGGGGAGCGGGGCGGGCGCTGTGTGCCGGGGCCGCTCCGGGCGGCGGGCACCGCTCCCCGCCGCGGCGCACGGGGCTCGTCTGCGGGACCCGTGCTGGGCGCTCCATCATCTCCGCCAGGCCCCGGGGCTGTCTCGGCGGCGGCCGACAAGGTGCGGGGACCGTTGCGTTGGTTCCGCGGTGTGCGGGGCGGGCGGGCCCGGGAGCGCCTCCGCTCCGGCAGCGGGCGGCTGCCGGCACCTCGCCCGTGTGTCCGGCCCGGGACGGCGGAGGCCTCGGGGCTGTGCCTGGGGCTATGCCGGACCCTGGCTTCTCTTTCATTTCTTTCTCCCGTGCTCGGAGCCGTGGTCCTGGAAGGAAAGGAACGGTCCCGTGCCGCCCCAAGCCCGGCCCGGCCACGCTGCGACGGGGCCTGAGCCCCACGCGGGCCCGGCGGTGACGGAGCGGGAGCCGCAGGCGGGTCTCTCCGTCCTCGCCAGGCCCGTGGCTGCGGCGGCGGCCTGGGCCTCGCTTCTAACCCTGCCCGTCCCCGCAGGCAGCGGCCCTTGCCGAGGCCCGGGGGTCAGCAGAGGATGGGGCTGGCAGCGGGTCCCGCTCAGAGCCCGGCCTGGGCCAGGCCTGCGGTGCCGCGGCAGTAGCGGGATGCGGTGTTCGCCTCCCGGGCCCCGCGGGCAGCTCGCTGCCCCGGCCAACGCTGCCGGGAGTGAAACCCGGTACCGGGGCTGAGCACTCCGCTCCGCAGCCAGGGGCCTGGCACTTGCCAGGCTGCCTGACGCTCTCCCTTTCTGCAGGGCCTGCTCGTCCGCAGGGCAGGAAGCGGCAGCCTGCAGCCCGGTCGCAGAGAGCGGGGCGAGACGCGGGGTCTGGCCGCCTCTCTGCAGCTCGGCGGGCACGGCCAGGGCACAGGGGCTCTGCGGAACACGCTGGGCCATCCCGGAGCCCTGCGGTGCCCCCTGGCCCCGCTCCCCAGGCGGAGAGGGCGCTGTGAGAGTTGATGCGGCCGAGGGGCTCCGCTCAGGGCGGACAGAGACAAACAAGGGGTTCAGGAGCGGGGTCACTGCCAGGCGGCCGTGCCGCTGAGCACGGGAGCCGCGGCCCGAGCGGCTGCGCTGGTGCAGGGCGGCACGGAGAGAGCCTGGCCTCCGCAGGAACACCGATGTAACGGGAGGCTGAAGGCCGAAGCGGGGATGCCAGCGCACACGGGACGCGGCCGGGACTCACGCCGTTGCCAGCGGTGGCTCTGCGGAGCGGGGCGCTCTGACCTGCCCGGGGCTCTCGCGTGGGAGCGGGCGGCGGAGGGGAGACCAGCACCGCTCACACGCACCGGGGATCGCAGCTTTGCACCGGAGGGCTCAGGGCCTTGGCTGCTTCTTCCTTACTAGATAGGTACTGCCAATACCGCTACTTTCCCCCGTATGTTGAGGCCAAAAGGGAAACCCCCGCCACCGGAGGTGGGCACTGGGAGAAGGGAGGGTGGGAGCATCTCCCCGGACCCCCGCACATGCCCACCGGCGCCTCCCTGGGCTCCGTCCTGGGCTGTGCCGTCGTTCGGCCTGAGGCAAAGGCTGAAGCACCGTTGACGCACTCCCGGGATCGGCTGGGGCTCGCCAGCTTTGAGTGAGGGGATACCTGACCGTGCCAGGCGCAGGGAGGGGAGGCGGCGGCCCGGGACCGGGCAGGGACCTGCGGCCCGGCCGGGGCTCTGCTCTCCTTCGGCCCGGGCTTCCCGGCCATGGCCGTCGCGCCTGTAGGATGTTTTCACGATCGTTTTATGTATTTTACAGAGACTGCACTGAATGTAAACTCGCAGGGAAATCGCGGGGAGAGCCCGGCCGCCGTCGCTGGCTGCGCTCGCCGGGCGCTGTCGGAGGGCAGCCCGAGGCAGGGCTGGTCCTGCCGGCAGCAGCCCGGCCTCTGCCACTGCCGGGAACGAACGGGCCTCCCGTGCAGTGCCGCCGGCCTGGGGAGGGGGTGCCCATCATCTCCCCGCGTGCTGGTGCTTGTCTCGGCAGCGGGCACGCTGCGAGCCGCCGAGAACCTCGCTGGGCGCTACCGAGCACCGAGCTCTGCCTCCCCGCGGGCCCGCTGGGCAGCCCGGGTGATGTGCAGGACCGAGTGGCGCTTGTGACGGCAGGGGCTGAGCGGGAGCAGGATCTGTGCAGACCCCTACCCAGCCAGCTCCGTGAACACGAACACCACCACAGGAGCGAGGGGTGCCCGCGGTGGCTCTGCGCTCCCTCGCCTCGGGCCGTCACCTCCTCCCGCGGCTCCCACCTGCCCCCGGCCGCGCCGCCGCCCAGCGCCCTCGGCCCCTCACAAAATCAAGCGGCCGAGCGCCGCACTCTTGGCAAGCGCAGGCTTTGCGCGTTGTGTAAGGTCTTTCCCCGTTATATAAATGACGGCAGGAGGAATGCGCACGGAGCGGGACGCGCTCCCCGGGACAGCACCTTGGCGCGGAACCTCCTCCCGTCCCGGGGCCGCCGCCCGCCGCGGGGCTGCTGCGGGGCCAGAGCCAGGCAAGGGGGGCTCAGGGCTGCTGCGCCGCCGCCGCTGTCCTTTCGGAGTGGCCCCGGGTTTATGCAACCCTGGCGAGAGATGAAAGCAGAAGAGCCAGGGGTGTTTTCTCCCTGCCCGGAGCGGACGTGGAAGCAGCCTGCCTCTGTCGGGGAAGGACAGAGTTTGATCCCCGAGGCTGAGCGGACTCCCAGCGTCACTCTGCTGCTCCAGCCCCCGGGGCAGTGCCAGCTTTGGGGGATGTGTTGCCACCGCAGCTTTCTCGTCCTCTCCGGTCCTTTGCGCGGGCCGCAAAGGTCCTTTGAAGCCCTGGCAGGGCTCGGAGAGTGGCAGTGCCCTGGGCGCCGGGAGCGCTCCCCGGCGGCACGGCACGGCACGGCACGGCACGGCACGGCACGGCACGGCACGGCACGGCACGGCACGGCACGGCTGCCCTCTGCCTGCGGGCCGGCGGGCGCGCGGGGACAGCCGCTCGGTAGCGGGTGCTGAGTGAGGGACCCCGTGGGCTCTGTCCCGGCTCCTCTTGTCGTGCGGACCGGGACCGGGCAGGGGGCGGTGGCTGCGGGCAGGGCAGAGCCAAGCTCCGTGAGGAGACACACACACAGCTCTTACCTTGCGCCCTCCCTCCCGCCCGGGCCGGAGCGGCTGTTTAATACCGCCTGATTCCTGGTATTCTTGTCAGTGTTTTAAGTGGTGAAAAAGTCACTTCCAGTCCCATGGTCTGCGTTTCACCCTGAACTCATTGAAAAGAGAGTGCGGGGTCAGGACTGTTTATTATACAACCAATTAAAACAGGAAAATATGCAAAGGCTTCATTCAGCGAGATCCGGCTATTGTTAAACCGAAAACGATATTTTTGCTTCAAAAATAAAAAAGTACATTTGTTACTTAAAAAATCTCCGCTCTGCGTGTGTGACAGTCGGGAGCGCGGTGAGGTCCGGCGGCCCCAGCTCGGGCCCGGCCCGGCCTGTGCGGCCGGAGGGCGGCTCGAAGGGGCGGGCGGGCACCGGGGGACCCCCGTTCCCCGCCCCGCGGGGTCCGCTCCTGCCCGCTCGCAGGAGGGGCCGGCCAGCCTCAAACGCGGGAGGCCAGCTCCGTGAAGGCGG